TTGGTACATATTGGCGGGCTTTTCAAATCAGAAAGAAAGCGGTTGATGATTTGGCGCCGGTATTTTTCGGCCTCCTCCCCGGGCCCTCACCGGATTGGTGAGTGAAGCAGATATCTGATTGGGAATTGAAACGACATTAGGAGAAGCTAAACAATGTGGCCAATCAGCAATGACCGCACCACCATTCCTCCCGAAGGTATAAGAGGGCGGAATGTGGGCATATTGCATCATTCTCTGTGAAAGTGTTTGTAAAATATTAGTAATGTCTGGGAGTGGAAAGGGCGCTCCAAGGTGAAGTCCCGGCAGTTCCCGTGGGCCGTATTCACAGGCTCTTGAGAAAGGGTAACTATGCTGAGCGTGTGGGTGCCGGAGCGCCGGTCTATCTGGCTGTGGTACTCGAGTATCTGACGGCTGAAATCCTCGAGCTCGCCGGTAATGCGGCCTGGGACAACAAGAAGACCCGCATCATCCCTAGCCACTTCCAGCTGCCCGTGCACAAGGACGAGGAGCTCAACAAGTTGCTGGGAGGGGTGACCATCGCTCAGGGTGGGGTACTGCTTAATATCCAGGCCGCGCTGCTGCCCAAGAAAACCGCCGCTGGGGGCGCCACTAAAAAGTGAAGAGACCGTTATTTCATCTGACAACTCAAAGGCTCTTTTCAGAGCCACCCACGACATCAGTGAAAAGCAGCTGGACCATCCCCTCTGTCGGAATGTCTTTTTCTGCATTAATTGTTTGATGTCCGTGTAATTCCCTTTGCTATTTGATACTCTTACTGTCACTGTGTGTATGATCTAACATGAAATCTTTACGAACAAGCTGCAGTCAGTCACGTTCACGGAACAGCTGAAACGCATGGAGAGTGAAACGTTTATCACGAATTTATAATGAATTGCAATTGTAATAGCGTTCGGATTGCATTATTTGTTATTGCTCTGTAACTGCCTGTGACTTTAATCATCGTCATATAAATGCATCTCAGTCCCTCGCTCACAACGAGTTTCATATTTCCTGTAACTGCATTTGAGAAGAGCTAAAATGACGCAATGCATCAAGTAGTAAGTACAAGATAACAGTCGGCCAGGCAGCAGAAAAGTTGACTTTTCGGGTCAGGACCCTTTTTCTGAAAAAGTCAACTTTCCTGCTTCTCTGCTGCCTGGCCTGTTGTGTTCCTCGAGCTCCATATTGTGTTATCTCAACATCCTGGTCAAACCTTTTCTGAAGCTCCTCCAGTGCAATTATATCCTTCCCTAACAGGGTGACCAGAACCTGATGTAGTGCTTCAGTAAAAGTCTCAAAAGTGTCCTGTACTCAAAAGGAGTGAGTAATGAAGCCAGGTGCCACGTGGTCTACAGCTGATGCAAACTTCAAAGAACTGTATACTTGACCCATTAGTTCTCTCTGTTCTCCAACACTATCCAAGGCCCTACTTGTATCTGTACAAGACCTGCCGCTCTGTTTTTCAAAAATGCAATGTCTCAGTACCTCCATCTGCCCGTCCTCAAGCCATTGACCCAATTGATCACGATCTCTTTGTAATCTTCAATAACCATCTTTACTGTCCACTATGCCACTAATTTTGGTGATCTCTTCAAAATTACTACCCATGCCTTCTAAATTCTCATCTAAATCATTTATTTAAAAGATAAACAAAAGTGGACCCAACACAAGTTGGGGTGGAACACCACGAGTAACAGGCCTCCGGTCCAGAAAGCAACTGCCAAGTTGTCTCCATCTCCTGCCATCAAGCCAGTTTTGTATCCAATTTCCAGCCTCACCCCAAGTCCCATGTAATCTTACCCTATTATTTCATCTGCCATGAAGAACATTGTCAAAGACTTTGTGAAGGAGCTTACCCTCCTCATTCCCACGCTTTCCCCCCCCCCCCCCCCCCCCCCCCCCCCCCC